CGAAACGTAAGTTGCTCATAAACGATTAATGTTAAGGAAAAATATGTAGCTTCTGCATAGTTTCGTTCCTATTTAGTGCCCTGGTTCCTATAAAATGTAAAAATCGACGACTCAACAGCGGTGTACTTGTCTCAGCTGGCATACCAAAACGGAAACATCCCGTGGTTTTCGAAACCTTTGCAGTAGGTACCTACTTTACTTACATACCTACATATGCACCCAGTTGTGGGCACCCAACCTTGTCACTTGAAATAGTTTAATCTCATATTTTTTTCTGATTCGCCATTTTGTATGCTTTATTACGCATGTTTATAGTAAAAGTTTCCATCGAGAGTTGGGATGTTCGCTCAATCGCAGCTTGAGCTGCATGACGATCATGCCGCACTGAAAACAATTTAACCCACGGCCCGCGAGTAAACCGGTGTTTTGCGGGTACCCTATCCGCAACCATTTTTAACCACCCTCCCAGGAGTACAGTTGTAAGGTCCCATCGCAGTGTAGTCGTCCCTGCTCTCAGCGGACTTGTTCGCTGACAGCGGTTATATCCGCTCAGAGCAAGTACGACTACACCGCAATGGGACCTAGCACTACTCCTGGGAAGGTGGTTAAAAATGGTTGCGGATAGGGGTACCCGTAAAACACCGGTTTACTCGCCAGCCTTGGGTTAAATTGTTTTCAGTGCGTGCTGTGTCACAAAGCTCACCATTTCTGCGTGTGCGCCTCCAGCGTGACCCGGATGACCTTGACCAGATGGGTGATGAGGGTGCGCAGACAGGTCAGGTCAGCGCGCAGTTGCCGGCCGTCTCCGGAGCTTCCCAATCCCACCGTCAGGTGGCGGAAACAGGAGATCACGTGACTCAGCTCCTTCACCATCTGCGAGAGGGAAGGGTAGAGGGAGAGGGAGAGAGTGAGGGAGAGAGAGAGAGAGAGAGAGAGAGAGGAGAGAGAGAGAGAGAGAGAGAGAGAGAGAGAGAGAGAGAGAGAGAGAGAGAGAGTCAGGCAAAGACATCTCGATTAAAAACTTGAGCTCATCAATATCTACAGACAGGTGATAGCGCACCTTATTCCAGCGACTTCCTCTTGCTAAGCGTTGCAGCCACCAATATCTACCATTGCAACCAATTGAATCAAATCTGACCATCGTCGTCAGCTGTCGCCGGCCCCCCCCCCCCCGCAGCCGGCAGTCCTTCCTCACCTTGTTGGTCTGGTGGCGGTTGGAGAACTCGGGGCCGGGCGGGTGTTTGCCCCGTCGACTGAGTGACTTCCCGCGCGTGTATGTGTGGGTGTGGACCGGCGGGGCGCCCGAAGCCGGCCTCTGCAGAGGCCCCACCGCCGCCGAGCGCGGCACCGGCTGGCGACAGAGGGCAGCACTGCGTCACACCACAGCTGATAGATGTCGCTGCAGATCTGATCAATGAAACAGACGGACAGACGCGTTCACGTGATAATGCATGACGTAATAGAACGACAACACATCGATTGAGACGCCCCTGCAGCGACTGGCGGTCTAGGAAAGAGCTCTAAGAGTCCAGTGAAAGAGCTAACTTGACTGGGGTTCAGGTGCACCCAATCTACAAGAAGTGCACTATATACCTTAACCTACCCCTACCGTGACCGTCATAGAGGAGCGGATATCATCATATCCCCCCCCCCCCCCCCTGAGGTTTTTCGTAAATGGCAGAAAAACCGCGGCGATTCCCTCATCAGTTTTACACATTGTGTGCAAGATTAAACCTCCTAACCAGGTCACTTCGAATGACCCGACCTCAAATCACTTTTTTGCAACTTGGTCACCGTGTCAAAGCTACAATAGATGACGGAGTCCTTGAAAGTTGCAAGATGTAACGAGGTCATTGGTAGCTACAATTTGCTGCTCTCGAAATTTCGATATCGATGACCTAAGGTCAGGTCAATTTCTTGGCCTCCCCATTAACCCTATTAGTGGCAGGCTCCTGGCTACCCCTATTAGTGGCAGGGGGGGCTGTTTACGACCCCCCCCCTTGATATCTCGAGATCTAACGGGCCGATTTTCAAAATTCAAACGGCATTCGATTTCGCTCAACGTGATCTACATTTCTAAAAAATAAAAATTAAAAATGTCAATAGGAGGTAGAGGGGGGTAAAAACGGGCAAATTGCAGATACATTTTAGACTGTTTATCACGGCCAGGTTTCTGAACCAATCTTAACGCAACTTTTGCCGATCGATAGAGAATGAACCAGGAATTCACATGGATCCTAAAAATATGCATTTTCAAAAATCATAGGCGGATACAGGGTGTTCGCAAAAATATGTCATGATTTCGTTACGCCATTATAGCCAGCTCAAATAAGCAAGGATCAAATGTTTTGCTGAAATGTGTTGCCCGGATCTTCAAGTTTTGTTACACACATGTATCAGTGCCTCATGTCAAACCGGGCGCACCCCACACGCTGTTTTCAATATGAACCCCTTTTCGGCGGATGCACGTGTCACCTAGAGATTACACATAAGGGTTCATTCGCACGCACGTGTTAGAAGTGATAACACGGACGGCCTTTGCAATCACTATCATCAGCCGAGACAGATTCTTGGCTGTCTTCCTGTAGTCCTTGGACTTCAGATATCCCACAGGTAACGGCCGATGGGGTTGACACCAAGTGAGCGGGTCGACCAGGGGGTAAGGGTCCTCCTGCTCAAGAAATGGGCCCTAGCATTTCGTTTAGGCACCGGAGTGCAATTTTCGAAGTGTGGACTTGAACCCATCCTACCTGTGCGCAAGTCTGCAGCGTTTTGACCATTGTCTCGCCCCGAGTTGCCCCACATTTCTCGCTTAAACTTCTAGAGCACTCCCACGCAGCAGTTTTCAGCGGCAATGTTGGTGTTTCAATTTGAAGTCTTAAGAAGAAGGCCTCGCGGCACCATGAGCGTCTATCGCAAATCAAGCAATGACCGTCGGACTGTGGAGCTGGTGTTCTTACCTAGCCTTTGAGGGTGGCATATCTACCCAAACAGTTTGTTCTGGCCGTCGGCGCCTCCATGAAGGTGGATGTGTGCTTCACGGGTTGGCCGGTGAGCGGTGCTCAGAATTGATTTGGGTTTTTTATCCTCGAAGCAAAGTAAATTCTTAGCCCTTTTCTACCCTAAATAGCACCTATTCCTGACCTTGTAGGGTATAATCCCCATGTCATTATCAATAATATAATGAGACATGTTGGACCGCACCCCGCATCTTGCGCGAGCTCGCAGATGGTCAGGGAAGGCATCTCGTTGACCAAATGGGTGATCTCTTTGTAGTTTAAATGACTATAAATAATTCTTTTTCTCGGACTTTCAAGGATTCATTCAATATTTAACGATCACTTTGGTAGTAAGTTGCATGTGCAGTAAAAAAATCGCCTTGCAAGGGGTGCAGCGGAGGCATCAAAGCATGCACCGAACTGTTGTAGCACGGAAACTACGGGCATCGAATCCAAGTGCTTTTTGGCGATATTTGTTTTTCGCTCTGTGCAAGGCAAGATTTTTAATATTATAAATTAAAATGCATATGAAAGAAAACTTGAAAATGTCCTCTGTCAAATGGGCATAAATACGTGCACGTGCGTTCAAGCAATTTTTCCTACAAAGCGATTAGAATCATGACATATTTTCGCGAACACCCTGTACAGATCATTGAGATTGGGGGTACACAAAAAGTATAGTAAATAAGGTTTTTGTTGGTACTGTTTCTAAAAAGGGTGGTAATGGTCTTGTTATGTTACAATTTTCTTATGAGAGAACGACTACAATTGTATTGGTCATGCATAGGCAGTGTCAGGGCACCTATGTTGGGAGGTAAAACATAACCCCCCTTTTTGGACGCCTGGATCCGCCTATTATAGCAAAAACGTGTCAAAAGAGGATGCACAATAACTGTATATGTTATCACATGATACCTTTCATTCACTGTTCGTAAAACTGGTGCAGCATCGTGATCTTCGCCCAAATGACTCGCTTCACGAATAGGACCCCCCAATTCCCAGTGCTCTGGAGCCGCCCCTGGTAAAGTTATGAACTTGAAATTTTCAGGGAATGTGCCCAATTTAGTTTGAGGAAAAGTCAGAAAATTTCAGCATCGTAGCTTCAGCGGTTTCGGAGATATTCCCGAAAAACCTGAGGGGTGGATAAAAACACCCCCCCCCTGCCACTAATAGGGTTAAGTATAAGTAGGTAAGACAATGGGGGGAGGGGGTATCAACTCCCTTATTTTTCACTAAAACGTGTCGGAATGACCCAATATCCTACCATGAATGACTTCATATACGATCGACCTTGACTACCATGAGGCCTCTTTTGCTCTTGGGCAGCTGTAAGACTAAGGTCATGTGACGTCATCACAGGTCACCGAGGCTTTTTTTTGCTTATAACTCCTTACAGGAACATGATACAGCCGCGAGGATGGTCTCATTGTGTTTAGCTCGTCAAGCCACATCGAATGATATACGGCCCTCCAGGTATTTAGTGGTTGGTTTCCAACATCACAATAAGCGATCTGCATTGATGAATACGTCTAATGGCTGTTGAAAACCATTGCCGAAGTGTGTGCACGAGCCCTCTTCTCATTTTTATTGAGTCATTTTACAGGAGTGTCTATGTCATTCAAAGTTATACCAAAAGCACGTAGGCTAACTAAACCAACCACTCTTTTGCTGGAGGGCCGTACATGATGACCTTGGTCCTTGAGGTCACGTGACTTGAGGTCAACATTTGACGTTGACCTTTCGAGATCAACATATTTGTGTTTCGATGCGGATCGACGAGAAGATCACGTTGGTGCTATTAGTTTTTTCCTAGCATGGCAGATGGCTGCTTCGAAAAAAAAAATATTCGAGAAAAACTCTAAATCTAGCACCACCTTTGACCCCTGTGACGTTATCTTTGACCTGACCTGAAAATAACCTTCGTAAAAAATATAGACATTGTTCGTGTGTACCCCATGCCGTTTACCGCTTGTCGCTATCTTGCTTCATTCTAGAGATCTCGGGGGGGGGGGGGCGGATATCTGCCCCCCATCCCCCCGTCGCTTCCAAGTTGGCGCAGACCCCCGTTGGTGCGTGGGTTAAACGGTGCGTGGGTTAAACGCGCACCGACGACACTTTTAACGCTGCGCTATAGCCAATATACGGCGGCGCGCTAAATTTTGAGTACCTGTAGGTAATTGATTGAAGTTTATTGTGACAAAGCTATACAAAAAATCGGTCCGAAGCATTTTAAGATATCGAGTGACGTCATGATTTCTGCGTTTTCGACCAGAAACGGCATATGTTCAAAGAAACATATGAAATCATAGAACAGAAGTAGAGACACACCATCAAAGCCATTAGACTCATAAGCGGCGGAACGGGGGGGAGGGGCACCGGGGCACCGTGCCCCCTTTTATTTTGGCATTTTAACATTAGCCCTATGGGCGTTCCATGGAAAGAATGGGACCAAAAGTCGACAGAGCCCCCCCCCCCCTTTATTGAAGGTGTTCCGCCGCTACTGATTAGACTGTCAAACATTGAACAATCAAATGGCGATCTTCGATTTCTGATTATCGCTCTACATTTTCCAAAATCTTGGACTGAATCTTGGCAATTTCTGATACTGGTGACAACTTTTCGACCATGAGGCATGTTACCATTGTGTTCTACGCCAAAACTACCCATTTAACAATAGTTAACATGTGCCATATGCTGTGAATACCAATTTTGGTTTTCGGTGATATATGCTTGTCTGATTGACCTGACCTATGCTTGACTGACCCCTGCATGAAGCTTATATTCGTGTGGCACTTCTTACTTCTATGAAGGATTGTGCACGGTTTTTACCGAGCTTATGACGAGAGACGACCCGTGCGATGTTCTAAACTTCATGCTACTGAAAGCCCTATTTCAGATGTTTGACCTGGCCTTGACCCGACCGGCGACCTGTGACCTAAAAATTCAACTTTCAACAACTCATCTGAAGCGTCTCGTCGCGTTCTTTCGTTTTCCGCCTCGTACGTTTCGCTGCGCCTATTGGTTATCGAGTTATCGGCTGGGGCTTTTAACGCCCCTCCCCTACCCAGCAAACGGTGGGTGGCGGAATACCCCAGCAACTGCCGGGTTTTAAACGTTGATGGTGTCCCCCTTTAGCACCTGGCGCCTTTCCGAAGATCACAGTCGCCCTCATCTGAGAACGCCGGTGTCCCTCAAGAGCTACTGGCGCCCACCTGAACAGATACTATATAGCTGCCCCATCTAAGGTCAATGGCGCCTCTCTGAAACCACTGGCGCCCCTCCAGAGTATCCGATGCCCCTCTGAAAATCACAGTCGCCCCATCCGAGATCGACGGTGGTCCCTTCAGACTACAGTCGCCCATCCGAGCTCAAATGGGCCAACTTGGCGCCCAAAGAGCGTCCGGCGCCCTGCAGAAGGGAAGAGTGAAATAACCCCACCCAAGCCGAATGGCGCCTCTCCAGAGCATCCAGCGCGCTTCTGAAGGTGACAGTCACACAATCCGTGGTCGAGGTGGGAGAGTTCCCAGAGCTACATTCTACACCTAGTGGAAGGGGAGGGCGAATGTCGCCCCCCCCCCCCCCCCCGAAGATCTCAGTTCCCATTGAAGCTAAAAAGGCGAAATTCAGAGGGTGTGTGTATATGTGGGGGTAGATAACTGTATTGTATGTTAATTTCATGACACTAGGTCAATATCTCGAAGGTCAAAGGAGGTCAAACGTGGTTAAGATTGCTATATGAGGGACTGTTTTGTGTTTACAGGCCCATTGCTCAAAAAGCTACTGACCGATTTCCTTATTTCTTTCACTATACAACACATACATTTTTTAAAGAATAATTTTAGAATATCTTGCTAACCAAACCATACAAATGGCAACTACAACTCTGCTAAGAAAAATATGTCTTCCAGTTGAGGAGGGCAGCAGCTGACGCATGAAGCGTGTCAGTCACAATTGGTGTTTACTTACACCCTTGCTGCTCAAAGCGTTACCGGCTTGGGTTGATTTTCGTATTTATTTGACCATAAGATTGCCTGTACATTTCTAAGTCGTCACAGATATTTTGAATCGGATCGATAATTAGCGGCGGTAAGCAGCACAATGCAAAGACGGAACCATTTTCAATAGACTTGATCAAATTTTATTTCCAGCAGTCACCTTCGTTAGATGACAAGGCATAGCGATACACAAGCGTTGTTGGGCCTTGGGGGCGACCCTCCTCGGCTGTGCCAGAAAGTCCCGTGCCCAGTGGCCATATGCCGCCTACGGGGTGCAGGTGTTGGCGTCAGCCGTGTTGGTGGCGATCCAGGACAGCGCCTCGGTGACGCGACCATACACGTCGGGCCAGTTGGCCACGGCGCACGGCCGGCCGAACGAGACGACGCCGATCAGACGGAACCGGCCCGAGACCTCGGTCACCAGCGGGCCGCCGCTGTCGCCCATGCAGACCGACCTGCCGCCCTCTGGGTAGCCGCCGGCGCAGATCATGCTGCTCTTGATCGTTGAGCCCCATGTGCCCTGGCAGCGGCTCTGGCTCCAGACGGGCACGGTGACGTGCTGAAGGTGGGTGGCCTGAGGCTCAGTGGCGCCCACACGGCCGTAGCCGCTGGCGATGGCCGTGACGTCGGCGTACGTCTGGCCAGCGGTCGGCAGGCAGACGGGCGAGATGGTGTTGCTGAAGCTGATCTCGCGGTCAAGCTTCAGCAGCGAGAAGTCCCAGCCGCTGCCCGAGGCGCTCGTGTACTGCGGGTGCTGGATGATCTGCTGGACCGAGAAGCGCTGCTCACCGGAGTCGGAGGTGCCGATGCGCAGGTCGCCCAGCATCACCTGGATCTGGCTTGGGCTGCTGTTCTCGGTGCAGTGGGCCGCCGTCAGAACGTAGCGGTTGTTGATGACGCTGCCGCCGCACCAGGAGCGGGTGCTGCCGGTGCTGACGAGGCCGGCCTGCCACGGGAACTGGCCGGCGGTGGCGTCTGCGCCGCCCACCACGCGGGTCTGGCGCAGGCCGCACTGGCAGTCGCCGCTCGGCGGCGCCGACGTCGTCGTGGTGCCGGAGCCGGCGGCGATGGTGACCAGGCAGTAGAAGCCGGTGGCCGTCACCGAATAGTCGGTGTAGATGCGGATGCGCAGCTCGGAAACGGTGGTGGCGGGAGGCGCGCTAGAGCCGCAGTACTTGCGCTCGTTGATGGAGAGGTAGTCGTAGGCGCAGGAGGAGTGGCTCTCCATGCTGAACGGGCTGCAGTTGATGGTGATGTCCTGGTTGTTGTCTCCCTTCACCGTGAAACTGCTGTCATGGTTGTTCGGGTACTGATTTGGGTAGTTGGGACTCGTGAAATAGTACCTTCCGGATGGCAGCGTGTATGTGGCACGAGATTCCTTCGCGAGGAACGGGACAGGCTCGGGATCCTCGTTTCCTCTCCCTCCCTCTTGGAATGCGACCGGCTCGACATCGAGTGGCTCGATGGGACCGCCGTCGGCCTTGGCCGGGGGAGGCGGCTTGGCCAGGCCGGTGGCCAGGACCACACAGGTAACGACTGCCAGACGGAACATGGTGGAAGGTGCCGGCTACTGGTCGGGGAGCCGCCTTTATACCAGACCACAACGGGCTCCACAGGTGTCTTTTGCCGCCCTCAGTGACGAGTTACTTGAATAGTGATGACACGCGCATTTTGAAAATATGTACGCCGCTCGTTCTTCTACGTAGGATGAAACGTGAGAAAAGTGCACATCTGTTTGAAGCTGCCTTGTCTAATGTGACACAAGTGACTGACAGGGGCCGAATGATACTCAGCGTTACACTCCGCGAATAGATGCTCCCAGATGTGTGTTTTTTTTTTTTTGCGATAGGATTTTCAAGTCATCGTGTCGGACGATTATTTCTTTGTCTTTATGTCTTTTTACACATGTGTATAGGACTACATTGCCGCTGCTTTCAGTAGAAGGAAATGTAGGATCACCAAGAGGTATGAGATGCTATCTCTTTTATTATCCCGCGCCTCTCTGGGGATTCTGGATGTTCACGCCTGGCTGACGGATTGTTCGCACCCCCACCCCACCCCCTTCAAACTCGGCTCCTGGACCGCATAGCAACACTGGTAGGGCAGGATGGGGCGATTTGGCCCATTTTTTTTTTTTTTTTTTAGAAACGACGTATCTCAAACTTGACACATTTCCTGCACTCTCTCAGCGCTGGCAGGTGTCACATTTATTTTACTTTCTTGTACAGCAAACTGAAAATGATAGAACCAGTAAAACGCCTTTTGGGCGAAGAACGAGCGAGCGAGATAGTGAGCCCTGCACGTGCGGAAGGGCGAGAGGGTACTTCCAATGGGCTTGTGCAAAGCACCCTTCTAACCGGTCGCTAGCGGTGTGCCAAATTTGAACGCAATCGGCCCAGCCGTTCCTGAGATCTGGAAGCGGCATTCCGCACGTGCGCACGTGCAAACGGGGTCCAAAATTATTTTTGCACGGCACCCTACTAATCGGTCCCCAACCGTGTACCAAATTTGAGCGCAATCGGCCCAGCCGTTCTCGAGATCTTGAAACGCCCCCTGCACGTGCGCACGTGCAGTAGCACCCTAACCGCAACACATGGGAATGCATTGCCTGGTGGGTGCCTACTTGTATGCCAAGTTTCAGCGAAATCGCCCCAGTAATACCGAGTTACTGAAATGGGAACAAATTTGGCACCACTTCTTTTTGTATTTTTCACGTGAAGTAGGGGTCACTCACATAGATCAAGAGTATCCGACCTTTGGTAGAAGGGATGCAGCTACCCTATAAAAATTACCGCAAGACAATCGCTTAAGCCGCTGCTGAGATATGGGCCTCTCAAAATCATTAGTTTTGCAAAACTGCTTGAACACCCTTGACTTTTCACGTGGCACGTGCCACGACGGTCACTGAGATGTATCAAAAGTAGTCAATTACGGGGTAGAAGGGATGGGGCTACCCAGCAAAAAAGACCGCAGGCCAATCGGTCCAGCGGTTGCTGAGATATAAGCCTCTCAAAAGCGTTACAGGCCGGGCCGGGCCGGGCCGGGCCGCTCATACTGAAATTTTTCCGTTATATTGAAAAGACTTCGCTTCGCTCGCTGCGCTCGCTCGTAATAACTACTTACCTGCATGTAAATTGTGAGGTATTACAAAGGTCTGCAAAGCGGTCAAATTACCCCGCTAGCAGGGTTATTTGGCCTGCGGGGGGGGGACAATTTGGCAGGTGTTAGTTTGAGGTCGGGATTTTATTTTAGACGTCATACAATAGGCGAGTCAGCTTCAGCGTCAGCAATTACGCCGGTGTCATATACGTATTTTGGAAGTTGACGTGGCGTTGGACTTACGAGCCTTTGGAAACATATATGGTCACAATGTGTAAAATTGATGTCCGGGAGGGTACTGAAAGTTTGGTGACGATCGGCGCACCGGTTCTGGAGATATATTGAAAAGTCTGGAGGGGGCAAAAAATAGTCCCCCCCATCAGGGCGCGGGTCAAGTCATTTTCCGTCGAGAGAGAAAAAAACTATTGTTAGGGGCCGACCCCCCCCCCCCCCAACCAGTAAAAGGGTTAACCTTCCAGGCGGTGGGGGGGGGGGGGCATTTTTTTGCCCCCCCCTTGTTTTTTCGATATAGCTCGAGAACCGCTGCGCCGATCGTCACCAAACTTTCAGTACCCTCCCGGGAGCAGCTAGCGCACATGGTGACCAAAAATTTTTCCAAAGGCTATGATAGGTTGGCCGCTAATGACGTCAGAGTGACGTCATTTTTGCCATTTTCGACCCAAAAAAAGGTTTCGCGGGAAGAGCTGTCAGGCCTACAGCTTTAGAGATACAGAAAAATGTTTCAGACATAAGAGGTGTGGAATTAAAAGGGCTACAAAACTGTTATTTCGGTGTTTTGAATTTTTTGGATTTTGACCCCAAAAAATCAAAAAATAGATTTTTTGAATATAATAGCCTTAAAATCCAAAAAGTTTTTTGAATTTCGAAAAAACGGAATATATGTGATAGCCCCTACCGCCTTCTATCTACATACCGAATTTGAGATCGATACCTCTTTTTTTGGCCAAGTTATAGCGAAAAAAACTGTTCAAAATTGATGACGTCAAATTTTCAAACTCAATTTTTAGCAATTCTAGACATCGTAGCGCAAAACAAAGACCACCATTAGACTCCCCGTGACGAGCTGCATCGAATCGATACCCATTTTATGCAAAAATATCAACTTTGAAATTTGACCTTTTTTGACCTGACCTTGACCTGACCTCCACCAGAAAGTGACCTAAACCGTACCTGATGGTCTTATAACCAACACCATTGAGTTGGAAATGAAAAACTGGCCATAAAACATGCATCGCATAACCTTAGTAATGTTGGGTTTATGTGGTGACCCTTGGTGACCTTTGGTGACCTGACCTGTGACCTGACCTGGTATGACCAGTGACCTCTAATAGCAACATATATACTAGACAACTGACGCCTTATCGCTGATTTTCGACAAAATGCGTTTTACTCGGTGTTATAGCGCTTTCCCTAGAAGCCCCGTGAACGGTGAAACATTTTATCTTTGACCTGACCTGTGACGTCATCGGTGACCCCGAGGTCAATGAAATTTGGTTTCCTTCGACAAATTTGACAGGGCTATCGAACGCCGTTTGAATTTTCCGGATCCGTCCAGTAGTTTCGGAGATACGGGGGGGGGGGGCAAAAAAGTGCCCCCCCCCCCCAACGCGCGGAAGGTGGCTGGTAGGCCCACCGCCTGCCGGGTTAAACCGCGCATGACTGGGGGGGCTCTACAGAGCCCCCTCCCGTTTTTCGGCAATATCTTCTGTACCGTTTCACGGATCAACACAAAACTTGCAGTACCCTCAGTGGCATCAAAATAGACACCTTGTGTTAAAATTTCATTTTTTTAGCTCTATGACGTCAGCGTTACGTCATGTCAGCCGATTTTGATGCAAAATACTAAATTACGTCAAACGCTCTCAAGAGCTTAGTTTTAAAGCTAGACCCAATACCTTTGCATCAGTGGACTACAAATACAAGTAGCCATCAAACTACCATCTCGATGTTTCGAAACTTTGAAAACTTTGAAAAATATGTTGGTACAATTACATATTTTCTTTATTTTTTCCAAAAAGTTTTCGATTTTTCGTAAAATCCTGAATATATGTAATAGGACACACACTGATTAACTACTCTAGCAAGTTTTAGCCCAAAATCTTCAAAAATAGCCAAGTTATAAGCATTATTTTCAAAATTTTATAATTATTTATTTTTCAAAATCGTTTTTCGACGTTGTATGTACAGCAAAATAAGTGGCACCATCGTGTTTCTGAGCTCAAACTGCATCTGATAGAAACATTTTTTTTTTTTGTTGAAAAATTTATTTTTCAAAATTTGACCTTTTCTGACCTGAAAGTGACCTAATCTCCGATAAATTCAGCTGAAAATGACCTAAAATGACACAGAAGACATCATTTTCGAAATCTACGAGTAAAATTGACCATAAAACATGCGTCGCGTGACCGATACATGATATACAATTTTCATGACATAGGATGACCTGGACTTGACCTGAAAAATTCGTAGTTAACGCGCGCCCAGATGGGGTCTGCCGAGCAACGCGGTCTGATGGGGGGGGGGGGCATTTTGGCCCCCCTCAGATCTCGAGAACCACGCAACATAGCGACAAGCGGTAAACGGTGTTGGATAGCCCCAACGGGGAACTACCTTGTGACCCAATTTCATTGACCTCGGTCAAACCGATGACGTCACAGGTCAGGTCAAAGGTCGAATTTTCACCGTTTACAGGCATTTCAAGAAATGCGCTGTAAAATCGTGTAAAATGCATTTCATTGAAAATCATCGATGGGGAAATGTTCTTTAAACACATATTTTGCTATTTGAGGTCACTGATACCAGGTCAGGTCACAGAGGTCAGGTCACTGGGGGGGGGGGGGGTCACAATATGAAAGTGTCGTGTGATACATGTTTCATGGTCCATTTTACATGACAAATGCGATTATGTGGGTCAGACAGACTTTAGGGCCAGCTTAGGTCACGTTTTGGTCAAGGTCAGGTCAAGGTCAGGTCAAGGTCAGGTCAAGGTCAAGTCAAATTAGGTCAAATTTCAAAGTTGATATTTTTGCTTAAAATGGGTATTGATTCGATGCAGCTCGTCACGGGCAGTTCAATGGTGGTCTTCGTTTTGCGCTACGAGGTCTAGAATTGCTAAAAATTGAGTTCAAAAATTTGACGTCATCAATTTTAACAGTTTTTTCGCTATAACTTGGCCAAAAAAGAGGTATCGATCTAAAATTTGGTATGTATATGGAAGAGCGCAGGAACTATCACATATATTCCGTTTTTTTTTCGAAATTCGAAAATTTTTGGAAATTTTTTGAGTTTTTTATAAAAAAAATCTATTTTTTTATTTTTGGGGGTCAAAATCCCAAAATTTCGAAAATCCGAGATAGCAGTTTTGTAGCGCCGTCTTTTCTCTACACAACCACATAAAGAACTTAAAAATTGCTTGTTAACTGTAGAATTGGTGAGCGTTTCAAG